ACTTTCTGAACAAAACAACAGTGAAGCACCAGTACACTTTGCAGAAAAAGACTGTAAAATCTGTCACAGGAGGGTTTTAGCAACAGGTTAAAAAAACATTCATTGGTAATCCCTTACATATAGTTGATTGTGCTGTGGGATAAAAGGAAATTTTCATGTCCTTACAGACTTATTTTCTTTTGTTTCCATTTTTGTCCAATCCTTAGAAAAATGTATTTATTGTTACTATGATAATTCAATGAAAAGTCTTTTATGTATTTTTTGTACAAAAGCCAGTTTACTACCAATGTAATAGAAATGTCAGTTTGCTTTGCCCCCTTTTCACACAAGTAGCTTTAATTATAAATTAGAAAAATTCTAAAGCAAACTTATTTCGAATAATAATAAAGATTACATAATAGTCTTTGATGGTCAGGTAGGAATAGAAAGAACAACCTATAAAAAGAAATGCTGCTGCAAATCATAAGTCAGTGTGGAACACACTTATTCAAGCATTGCAACGAAACCGTCACCTGTGCTTTATTTAGAAACAGGCATTTCCAAGTGAATTCAAGGCTGCGTTTGTCAAACCTCTTCCTGACTTTTCTACTCCTTTCATTCTGATCAAGGAAGGTTTAACACTGATGTGCTGGGGGTGCCACCTCCTAGCTCCTGTTCAGCAGTAAAACCCAATCCCCTTCCAAATGCTTCAGCAGAAAAAAATGCTACTTACCTTATAAAACCTAATGGATTGAAGAGCAACAAGAAGGAATTCCCATCTAAATGCAAATCAAGGCAAACCCATTTTGAATGCAAAAGTAAACTAGAAATGGTAATTTTCCCACCATTTGCTAGTGCTCCTTCCTACAATTACAGTTCTCTACAGCTCAGTAGTTAACAGCTCTTCTCCTGATGAGCTGTCAATGAACAACTTAGATTTTTTCCAAATGTATGTCATAGATATGCTTATTCTGTTGCAATCTGTTTGTGCAGAATTAATTTTAAACACTTACTGCTTAGTTTTGGTTTAATTTAGTCTGGTTCATGAAGTGGAAAAAGATGGAAATTACCAGGAATAAAAGGTTTCATCTGCTGGTTAAACTGAAAATTAAACACCTACTTGTTTTCTGCTAGAGTGTGATAACTGGTATCAGTGGTTTATGACCACTGAGAACATTAGAATCCATGAGGCTAAGTTAAGATCCTATCTTGGATCCTTTCTGCTTTTAAGAATGCTAACTGCATAGTGCAAAGGCTGGCTGTAGTGAGGCATCTGTGAGCCCATCAGGTGGTGACAGACCCTGGGCAGTCCCAGTGAAGAGCTCTGGGCCTGGTTCTGATATAAAGTCCTTCTTACCTTGAAAATCTCATAATGAATACAGCAGCTATGCAGGAATTGTAGTTGCTAAGAATTTGTTCTAAGGAACCTCTGTTCCAGCACCAACCAAACTAGTAAGGAAGGGGATGCCTCATACAAACCGCTGGATTCAAATTTTTCTTCCTGTACTGGAAGGAATGCAATAAAATTTGCTCTTGTCTTAAAAGGCTTTTGAAATACTAAATGCTATAATCATGTCAGTGTGTAGCATATATAAAGGAAGGCAGTGACAACTCAGAGGTTACAATTTGTTTAGAACACAGTAATCAAATCCAGTAACAAACCCTGGAATTGGCAATGTATGCTGTACTGGCATCATGTGTTTTCCACTGGATCCTTACTGGGGTCAGTTGGTGCTCTGCCCCTAGTCTGCAAGGCTGAAATTAAAGACACAACTATGTAGTGACAGGACAAGGGGGAATGTTTTTAAACTGAAAGGGGTAGATTTAGATTAGATATTAAAAAGAAATTCCTTACTGTGAGGGTGGTGAGGCCCTGGCACAGGTTGTCCAGAGAAACTGTGGCTGCCCCATCCCTGGCAGTGTTCAAGGACAGGTTAGATGGGGCTTGGAGCAACCTGATCTAGTGGAAGGTTTCCCTGCCCATGGCCGGGGGGTTTAAATGATTTTCAAGGTCCCTTCCAACTCTAACCATCCTATGATTCTGTGAACTATCCTGCAACAGCTAGGAAGCGATGGAGCAAGTTTATATATTCTGTGTGTATTTCTAGGACCGTATGGTGAGGCTGATAATGCCTCTAACAGTTTTCTTTAAAACAGCTCAGATAGAGTTTGCCTTTCAGTAAGAAGTCTGCATTTAAAGTGGGTTTTTTTCTTCATCCCAGTATAATCAGAATATGACTCGCCCAGGGGTCCTAAGCAGGAGTCTTTCGACATGGAATGTAGAACAACTATGTACTGCTTTTATATTTTATAACTAGTAACTAGCCTTCCACTGCTGGTATCCTCCCTGCATGATAAACATAACATATTAATTATATTAACATATTATATTAATTTATATTATATACAAAACAATATGATATTAATTACTTTACAGAGTTAATTATTAGTGATGAGCAGTCACAGTTGGGGATCTTTAGTAGATTAAATGGATAACATAAATGGAACAACAACCAAATTTAGCCAAATCCTTAAAAAAAAAAAAAAAAAAAAGAGAGAGAGGAATATAGGAGCTCATTCAGCACTAGAAAGGATAATGGAACTGCTAAATCTTCACTGCAGTTAGAGTACTGAGTGTTGAAATCTGTTTACCCTGAAGATGTGTGAACTGAATGTGCAGAGTGATTTCAGATTTTTAGTGGAAAGCCCTTCAGAAATATTTCTGTATGGAAATGAATTTGCAATTTAATTCCAGTTAATCCCAGTTAACTGATTTATTGAGAAACAGGATAGATTTACAGAACTCCCTTTGATCTAACACCAGGATCAGAGAACCTGTTTTACACACAGCATCCTGTAGCATTTCACTTTGGGAAAATAAAAAATGGAATTGTGACAGAAGAGTCAAGCATTTCTAAAAAATAAACTTCAAAGGAATTAAAAGACCAAGGAATATTTAGATCCCCAGCTAAATTCTTACAGAGAAGTCAAGACAGAAATGAAGAAGAGGTGGGATTTGTTTACATAACCTGTAATCTCTAGCTGTGTGTCTGATCCTGTATCACTCTGCAACTCAGATAAGGCAGAGTTTTGAGTCATGGATATCAAAGACATTCCCTGCATAATTCTTTGTGGCCAATAATAATTCCTCAGGTTACTTGTGTAGAATATAGGTGGAGTCCAAATCAACCATTATCAGTGTGACATAATATTAATCAAACAGTCCAACATTTAAATTCTGTCCTTTTGAACACAAAGTTCAAAAAAGTTAAGTACTTGTCAGGAACTAACCTGGGTTTGTTAAGAATACTGATGTTACAAGCTTGTTACCTAATTCTGCAAATACAGGGATGCCACTTATTTTTTATCGTTTTCCAGTTTTAAAGTGTTCTTGTCTTAACTGTTTGTTATTGTATATACTTGAAAAGATACACTTTAGCTGTTTTCACACATATGCTTGAGTCTCTTTGAAATAGGACCTACCTCTTACCCCACTGAGGGGCACAGTTAAGGGCAAGGGGAAATTATTGCTGGAGAGAGCTGTAGTAATGAGGGAATAAGCACGGTTACAGTAGATATTCTGTTGTGACAATTGTACATTTAAAAAACTCCCAAAGAACAGATTAAGATAATACTAATGGTAAAACCAGGTAAACATCCATTACCTTAATAGAAAAGAAGAGAAAGTGTGAGCCCCACATTTACTTGGGTCTTCATTCACTACCATTGGCTATGGATTATTTGTGTTAAAGTTAAGCACTTACTTAAGTACTTCAGCTGGACTGAGGCCAGAGTACTGATGAGTAATATGCAGAACAGAGGCCATTGAGAACAATACCTTTTTAAAAATACTCGGAGCCAAATGTTATTTAAATAAACACATTTACTATACATCATTTCACTTTCTTCATCTTAGTGTTATATTTCAAAGCCTCAGTCATGGATAGTAATTTCACTGTGCAAACTCTTTATTACACCAGCTTTCAATGTCGATATTTTTTGAACTTAAAATGAAACACCTTTTCCCTAACAAAGCCTGAAGTTAATTGATACTGCACTTCAGGCTTGAGTAAGCTTTTTGAAATTCTAGTAACCTATTAGTAGCTACCGTTGAAATGTACTTTTCATGATCATCATCAGTTTTTAAAGGATGGAAGCAGATCTGTTGAGCCCAGACATCAGCAGGATGATGCAGGTCAAAGTTACAGGGGTGGTTTACTGAAAAATAGAGACAGCCTTCAGCTCAGTGCTGAATCACCCATAATCTCAACAAAACTTCTTAAAGAACTTTGCATAGACCTAGACTGAACAAATAACTCACATCATGGCATAAGCTGCACTAAGAATTGGGTAACTGAAGGCTAAACATGGAGCAAATGATCTGAGTTATAGGTGATAATTTTCTGCAGAGCTTATCATGACTGAGGTTCTCAATACTCAATAGGACTCCAGAAGAAGAATTAGAAGGCTATCTCAAAGAGGCAGGCAAAGATAACGAAGTATTTTTCAGTGCAGTTCTTGGAGGACTTTAAACACCAAAGAAGCACTTCCTCATAGCACTTGGGGCTTGTGTGTTTGCTCTAGGTTTCATACCCACCCCACAGCTAACAAACTAGGCATGAATGCCATCGATGGCCCCACTAAAGCTTCTGAATTCTGTTATCTCAGAGTAGCTACTATTATGTATAGACAAACTAATATATTAATAAACTTTCCTCAACACAGAGCCTACAACTGACCTGTAATCTCCAATAAATTGATTTTTGACAAAAAGCTGGTTTTGACATGGCACTGCATTTGCACAGCTTGAGGAACATAACCCTCTTTCTGAGTTCTGTATCTACTCCTGATCATTTCAGACCTAATTTTTGTGTCCTACTTCTTTTTTATTGTTATACACAAAAGAAATCTGCAGTGAAAAAGAAATCTGCAGTGAGAGCAACATGCAATGGATATCTTCCTTCTGCCATGCATGTTTTCCCTTTTGACAGCCTCCTAACTATATCCCTCCATCATTTCAGGTACACTACAGGTGAAACCAGATCATTCACTCTACTGGTTCTGTGGTTTGACACTCTGGAATGATGAAGAAAGGCCTGTGCTAAGCAGGAAGCATATCAGGTGTCTGAGCTAAATGTTTTATGGCTACAAACAATATCATAAAAGGACATGGAAATACTGGTAAGGCTTTTCCCTGTATGCCAGGAACTAGAACTGGACAAAATTTAAATTAGTTCCATGCTAAGGGCCAGGGATACACCTCCAGCAAGCCTGCTACCATGCTGAATTTACTGCAGAGCTTGTGGAGATGAATATATAAAAGTGTATTCATGGGCAGTGGATGTTTATAGCGTGGATATGGCAAACACTGGGTTCATAAGTGGGTAAACTTGCGGATTGTAGTTAAATGTCTGCCAAAAGATGAAATTATTTCTTGACACGCTTCCCTAGGGCTCAGAAGAGCAGCCTACTCTACAGTGATCTTTTGTATATATCTTGATGTTGTCTGAAAACATCATAGCTCCCTACACACAATTACAGTCTGCAGTGTAAAAGCCTGTTGCTACAAACTTTAAACACAACACATGCTATCTATGCTTAACTTAAGCCACTTGCAGCTGCTGTTCAAAAACTACTTGGGCTCTGTAGAACTTTTTAATGTATCTCTCATCAGAACATCTCTTTGACCTATAGTAGTTTAACCCTATTTTTTTCATAAACAGCAAACCGAGGCACTGGGAGACCAAGTGATTTAGAGTTGCACAAGTGATCTCTGATAGGGCACATGGTTGCAGCCAGCTCTCCCTGATCTCCAAAGGATGCACAGCTACTGGCACTATATTTTTCTCCTTTTAAAACTTTTTTTCTCCTTAATGATTCTGCAGCTGAAACACTCTGAATTCCAAGATTTCTTCTGTAAAACAGCAGCAGCCAAATGCTAGAGGGCATGAGAAAAAGAAAGAAGGTTGAGGAGGGCATCTTTTTCTTCAAAATGTAACCTTTGCACATGTAAAATCTTGGACGATGGAAGAAACTACTTGGTGACCAGTTTGCATTATGTCCTTTGGTACGATAGCCATGCTTGGTGGCATCTTGCTGTCTTTTTCAGGAGGACATATTCCAGGAAAGAAAGTTGTGCACTTTCTGTGGAAACTATTTCTTACAGTACTTCCTAAGAAATCAGCTTTGGCAGCCTCCTGTCGCTGTGTGCAACAGGTCTGTTGGGATGCTCTCTTGTGCGGCCATTACCAGCATACTTAAGGAAAAGGGGTAGGAGAGGAATCTGTTGTCTTCTTTCATAAGCCATGTCTTCATCAATAGCTGTTTCCATTTATGTAAGGCGCTGGATCCTGAGGTAGTACACACCACTAATGTTTCCAAGTAAATACAATCCCAACACCCAAAGCTTGAAAGGCCAAACAGACAACAGCAGGCAGATAGCAATCTTGCAGCTGCTGCTCTCCCTGCCACTCGGTGATTATCAATTTTCCATTGTCGCCCGGAGCTGTCTTCTTTTCTGATTCCCAAACTCTTTCCCTCACTTTCTTTTTCTGAACCTTTATTGTTTTCCCCAACTCTTTTTTCCACCCTCTCTCTGTTCATCCACTTCCTTCCTCATCTTCAGTACTTGAGCTAGTAATTTGTGTTTTAAAAGAAGACCTGTACCCAGCAAAGTGTCTTGGCATGCACATAGCTTTAAGTGCTCTAGTACTGTTGAGTCCAACAGGACTACCAATATACTTAACCACACGATTTGCTTTCTTGGATCAAGGCCATCATCACAATGACATTAACCAAAACAAAACAGGACTTGAGATTCAGCAACATAAATACATAGCAATGTCAACTAAGCTCAGTGCTGTAACCTTCAGGTTACCTTCCTGCAATGCCTTCTGTCATTGCTAGCTATGTTATGGCTACACTTAAAATCTATTCTGCAAGCATAGACTGGAAATAGTGCTTAGGAACAATCCTGTTTAAGCCAATACGTTCTTACAGTTTCAGAATTTGCCCAGCCTGTTTTGCTAGATCAGGCTCTTGGACAATAAGGTCCTCAGGGCAAGAATCATGTTTATTTTTCGGCTTGAATCATGTGTGCTCATATACCACAAAATAGCAATTAGTTCCTTTTTGTTCTGAGGTACAAGGAAGAAGACTTTCTACATACCACAAATGTCCTGGCTTGTGCAGTTGTGAGAAAGTTTGACAGAGAAAAATTTCAAGAATCTAGGCTTTTAACCTTATCACTGGCAATTTACTGTACCCTAAACTTGAAAAAAGACTAAATTAAAAACATCCCCTCTTGAATTCTGCCCCCTCCCCTTCTTTTGCTGACCTGCCTCTGTTACCTTTTCTCTTTTATTCTTTGTTGCACCGGTTTACACTTCAGCTTGTAAACCCCATATGGTAGGAGCCTTGCCCTTTGTTAATCACGAAATAAGATTATGCATACCTTGGGCACTGCACAAATCATTATTGTCTTCCTACAGATGTCTTCCACATGGCCCCACCCTCAGTTCCAGCTGAGAGTGCTGTTGTGAACAAGCTCAAAGAATAAATATTTTGCATTCATTTCACCAGCACAATGGAAACATTTTTCCAAGCTGTTGCCAAGATGGTATCTAGTCCCCTTCTGAGTCAGCAGCCCAAGCAGCTGACTTTCAAATGGCCAAACTCGCTTGATTGTAATCTTAGAATTGAAAACCACAGACACAAGCTGTATTTTTAAAGAGCTGTATTGCTCCCTCCTCATGCATAAGCAGGTAGTGACTCTATAAAATATGAAAGGTGATTGAAAGAAGCCATACAGAAGTGAGTGTTGTTTGTAATGTCCCCTTTATTTCTCCCAACTTAACCAGTTTATTTTGTCCAGCTAGAGGAAGGGACTGAGGAATGTTGTGAGCGAGTGAAAAAGAAATATCACTACTTTTTGTAGTCCATTTTCTTTTGGTATCAGCTGACTTTTTACATTCTCTAAAGCTCTGTTGGCCATTAAAGACAGTTTATCTAAAAATAAAATATAGACAAAATGGGGCTAAGAGGGATGAGGATGGTGAAGAAGTCGCAGGGTTCCCTTCCATAGGCATTTTTGGCTCAGTCTTAACTGTATTTTCCCTCTAGTCCAATACATAAGCAGGCATGGTGCAACACAACAGGTTCAAAACTGATTCTGTCCTCCATTCTCAGGGAAAGACTTTGTTCTATAATCCCTAGTGCTTTGAGAATAAACAGACTGAATGGTAAGTAATTTTTGTGTTCTAAAATTGCCCAGATACAGCTGGTCAGAAACTGTCAGAAATCGTATATTAAGCTGCAGCTTTACATTATATCAGAGATATGTGTCAGGCTTCTAATTGCTAACACAGCTTACTCTTAAGAGAAGTTCCAATCTTCTAGCGAAATAACAGGATTCATTTTAAATTAACAAGTCTAAAATCCAGATATAAACTGCACAATCAGTGAATAAAATCAGGCTGTCAATCTTAAAGCACCATCTTACCTCATGTTATTTATTCGAAAGATATCTATTTATATAGACACATGAGGCCAGATCCTTACGTTTAGCCTTTTTATACCGTGCATAGTGCAGGACTTACAGTGATAGAAGTAATTTAGCTTTAAGCCACTAACTCTCTTCAGGATGCTGGGGTCATGATTTTGGTACCAGTGTGTATCTTAAAAAAGACTCAGAGATGCTCTAATTTTAATTGCTTTATCTACTTAGAGCCTTATGAGAGCTGTCAAAGCAGCTTGGAAATGGTTGGACTCAGCATTCTGTATATTCATCCTTTCCAGCTAGCCTTTCTCTTTTTGATCTAGGACTAGGAAGAACAGAAATTGTAGGACTTTATGCCATTAAAATAAACTCTCTACTGAGTGAATCCATAGATAGTTGATTAAATTATCTCTGTGGCTGCAGAAAAAGCCACAAGCTGGCACAGACATACTTTTCCTTAGGGCAGAAAAAATAATCTTTATGGAATACAATCTCTCTGCATCCTAAGATTGATTGCCATGAATCTGAACACTGCAACCATAATAGAAATACATTAGGAAACCAGTCTTTCAAGAGGTTGTGACTGGGCTTTTTTTTCTTCTATACCAAATAAGTAGCTTTTAAAGAAGCAAATTAACTGGTAGAAAATGGATAGTAAGATGTTCATTGCATATTTTAAATACTACAAGGTGAGGGAAATACCAAATGTGATACAAAAGATATGGCTAAAGATATGACTAATAGGGAGAAGGTAAAGCAGGAAAACAGAATCTTAATAAAATGGGAGCTGTAATTAAAAAGTATTGTGGTATAGCTGAAGCTTTCTATTTTTGTAATGTTGTGTTCCAAGCGAGTTTACTGGTTTATTTATTCTTTATGTCCCACTGACTCAGTGTGGGCTTTTCAACCATATGAAATAATTCTTCTGTGAGCCTATATTCAATTCAGTGAAGCTACTGTGATGCTGTGTCCAGGGAGACTGAAATCACACCAGTTTGGCTCAAAACATTTTCACACTAATATTGTATGCAATTGTTACATAGTTCATCAAAAAGTTGTTCCTTTTCTTGGTTTACAACTCCTTAGTTACATGCCAACAGTTGGACAAATGTATACCATTTTAAATGAAATGCACTTTCATATGGACAGCAACAGTTCCAGTCGGGAGAAATGTTTAAACAACTTACAGCTTGTTACAGCCTATAGGATTTATTAGAGAACACAGTCATCTCCCAGATGGAGTGCTGGTCTTAAGGCACTTAAAAGTAGCCTGGACACAACACTGTAAATAGGTTTTCTTCACTGGTAAATGACAGCCTTTCTGGCTCTAATTTCTGTGATCAGTTTACTGTGGTGTAAATCAAAGTTGAATCACAGTTATGTCTTGGCACTCTGATATATTGCCTTAAACTACATGAACGCTGAAGTAGGGAGTTCTTGCACATTTGCAGTTGTATAAGATTTTGATTCCTTTTTTTCCCAGCCTTTTATTCTTTTCTTTTTTTAAAATACAACACTGGAATCAAAGCACACTTTTCTGTTCTCTTCACCAGATTTAAATCTCTTTAATCAGCCAGCTAGATTACAGAGCTCTGATAGGTGGCATGGCTTTTTGGAGAAAGCCAAACTGAAGGAGCTGCTGCACATATCCTGGTTCCCAGGCTCCTTGCCAGCAGCAGGGTGTGACGTAATAGCCTTTCATGCTGAACAAGTTAACAGCTCTGGTTTTGAGTTTACTACGTTTTGGCTAAGAAACAGCATGAAAAGCCTTGCAGGGAAGTGCTACTGTTTAACAAGCAGGTAGCTGCAGAAACAATCTTGTTTCTGTCTCTGTGTCTAGGACTAGGATAGAGTCCCTGCTGTAAGTTACATGGAGGTATGGTGGAGCAGCAAGGACTTGGTGAAATGAAAACAGACTGGATTCTTTCAGTCCCTCCGGTGTGCTATATCTTCAGTTTTAACAGGACTTGCTCACAGAAGCTTAAAGTAGGTCTCAGACTAACTTCTGGCTGAGACACCTTCTTTTTAAAAATGTTCTGGGAATTTCCTTGGCTCAGAAGTTGTTCAGAGAACAGTGGTTAACTACACTATCATAGGGAAAGGGCCATTTGTAAGCATGCTATGCCTTTGTCACCTCTTCTGAGCAGAGGAAGCTCCAACCTGTTTTTTCACCAAATGAGAACTCAAAGGCAACTCCTCAATTTGGAGCTTGCATCTTCTTTCTCTGGTCTGGACTCTTCTCAAGCCAGGAAAGGGGAAACCCATAAGGGTCAGGAAATGAGGGACCACAAAAATGCTTGTGCTTGCAGGAGACAGGGAATACTGCAATTTTCACAGTGTCTGATGCATTAGTGGAAGAAGAAAGGATGAAATGAAAAGGACATAACCACATCAAGCTCAACATACTACATTCCACTTTATAATATGGGCAAAGCTGAAATGGGGCAAACATTGGTTACTGAATTTGCAACTTCTGTACATTCCTGTCATGGTTAGTAATGTCACAATAGAGAAGAGTTATCATTTACCACTTACTGCCTGAAGTTTACACAGACCAAACAACAGAAGGTCAAAGTACAGAGTCATGAACTGTATGGTGAAAAATCAAATTGCTCTTTCTACATTTAATGGGGTGCACAGTAATCTTGTGGTATCTTTTGATCTCTTATCAGCTGAATTTCTCATTATAACCTTCTAACTCAGCCACTAGGAACACCTACGCACTCAGAAGAAAGTCTGTTAGAGCTTCTGCAATGCTATGTCAGAGCCTCATCACACCTAGCTCTTGGCACCTAACAGAGGTGCCTCAGTTAAAAATGCAGCACACAGAGTCACTCTCTTTATGACTGGTGCAAAAGGCTGTTCAGCCCACTGAAGATCTGATTCATCCCCTGCGAATGCCTCTCTGTGGGATACAGACAACTAGAGCTGCTATACTCCCAACTTAAGCAGCTCAGATAGGTTTCTAAAGTTAGGTGGAATAAATCCAGACCTTGGTGATTATCACAGACATCCATTTAGCATGAGGGTAATTGCTTAGCTTTGTATACTGTGTTGAGGTAAGGCTCACTGAAGGAGGATCTCCCTCTGACAGGAACTGTCTTCCCCATTTTATTGCCTGTGCCAGAATCTGAGGCTTCAAAATCACATCAAGATACACGCTGTTCTAAGTGCTGCTAAAACATGAAAAGTTCTTATTACATCTGCTGGAAACAAACATTTTTATTCTCTCCTCTTACTAAACAGATTTAACCATTCTGTGGAACAGTGTCAGATGTATAAAAAAACAAGTACGGGGGCAGCTTCAAATGCAGTTAATTATAAAAATGGGCTAAGATAAATTCCAAGTCCTGCACCTTCCTATATTTATCTGCTGTTCTGTGGGTTGTTTTTTTTTCCAATAATGATTCTGAGTCTGGGTCCAGGGGTTCCTCTTTGCTACTGCAATACATATAGAATTATGAATCATTTATAATAGTTCTGTGATCTCACATGTTATCATCACTAGTTAAACAGTGTAATAAATAAATGAGATTTAAGTTGAAAGAGCCCTGTAGATAAGATCCAACTTCTTATTTCAGATATACGTGGAAGCTTCCTTGTCATTAAACTGATCATCTTACAGCATGGCCACTATGAAACCATTTATCATATTATTTATTGTGTATTTTTAAAATAATTGGAATTGTCATGCCAAGAAATGGTGATCTAAGTAAACAAGGAATTGAGTTTGCCTTTTTACAGATTTGCTTGTGGCATGTGCATTGTGGAAACACGTATTTACTAACACACAGCTCAGAATAAATGAGATGTTTGAAATAAAGTACTTGAATCAAGAATGTTGGTCTACTGCTGTTATATTTGTAATGGGATGCTATGTAAATAACAGGGATCAAAAGGCACAAGGGTCCCGAGTGAACACCCATCAGCTTCAGATTCTTGCCCTTCTGCAGAAACTCAGCTTTTCTCCTCTCTAACATCTTATCCTACTAGAAGAGCATGGCAGACCTCTCTGATCTCTGCTGCAAATTAAACATCCAGGGCATTGTTCCTCACAGACCTGCAGCTGCCAACATCTGTTCCCAAGCAAACCAAAAAACCCAATGATTCACTGGCAGTCCTGCACACTCACTGTTACCCGAGAGTACCAAGCACAGATACTCAGGTGGTACACCACCTTTGTATTTCTGTAACTTCTGAACAGAATTTGAGTCCAGCATACTGAGTTTCCATCCATACTCTCTCCTGTACACACAACCACAACAGTTCATAAGTACTTGCTGAGAATTCTCTTTCTTTATTCTGGCATCTTTTACTCAACTTCACATTGTCCAAATCAGCAAATAATTAAAAACAAAACAAATTTTTCAGTCTTTTGGTCGGAGGAATGTGCTAAGATTATGTTGTTTCCCCATTTCTATTGTAACAGGTACAAAAGACTCCTCTGTAGCTTCTAAGACAGATAAACACATTCAGATGTAAATAATATGACTGATGGACTGAAACCTACCAAAGCTATTTTTATCCTCCATGCCCTTGAATTTCGTAATTTATGTATTCCAAATCTACTACTGACATGGAAAGGCAGTAAGGAAAGTTACTGCTGGAGTTCCCTAACTAGAAAGACAGGATTTATTTTATTTACTACTTTAACTATTTACTTTTGCATAGAAGCACAACACAAAGTCTGTATTTGTAGGAGAGTTTGGTTTGCTTAATCTAGAGAAACAAAGATTGGCTACAGGTACAGCAGGATGTAACAAACAATGAATGAAAATGGCTATTAATTGTAAGAGCAATGGTCATAACCTGTCCATGAAAAAGAAAATTGGATTGAAAATCAGAGACTTCCTAACTGTTAACAAAAGACATCCCCAAAATAGTTGATGTGTTTTACTGGATACATGTGCGACTTGAAAGTAGTATGTGAACACTAATCCAGTACCTAAAGACTTTCAGCATAACAGTGGCTGCTGCTGTGGCTGCTGTTATGGAGGTTCCTACCACAAAAGCAAAATGATTTTGGGATTGCTGTGTTAGCATATTCAGATCCTGGAACAGCAAGAGGGAGGAAACTTCCTGCTTTTAAACAAATTACTAAGAACTGGAACAAAACAACTAGTAGTTGTTCAACAGGGAAGCAGACCTCATAAACCTTTATGTTCTCTACAGTTCTAGATTTATAGGTATAGCAAATGTCAAAGATTTTATATTCTGAGGGGAAAAAAAAGCAGGAAAGCTGGGAAAGACAGATGCAGGGTAGTTAACTTCAATGACAGCTCACAGACTGCTAGCTCCATGAGGCAGGGGAGTAGAAAGATATACTTAATGCAAAGGAATTCACTCAAAAAAGAGAGGGGCAAAAGGCAAAAGAGCAAAGCAAAGAAAAGTGATGCCTCTGAGGCTCAGGCTGGCTAAAAAGAGGGGAGAAGGCACAATGGCGTGCAGCACAGGTGTTGCAGTGGAGCATATCAGTGGCTGGAGTTCATGCATTCCTAGGAATTCCCAGGAGGCTGGATAAATACCCTGGTAGTGCTGCCCTTCTTCCCCTGCTTTCTCAGCTGGGGCAGGAGGTGTGATAGCAACTAGTGCCATTAGTCACCAGCTGTCTCAATCATCTCAGACTCCAGAGGCAGCAGGAACTCAGAACTCCTGCAGCTCATAATGTGAATTTCTTTTCTATATGCTCTCCTTGACTGCTAGCTCTCTCATCAGCTCTTCCTGAGGGAGAGAAAAGACAACCCTAAATAAAACGTTATCCTTTAAAGCAGCTGTTTATGCTGGGATATGCATCCACTGCGAAACTCACTTGAGAATAGTGCAAAAATGGGTTGCTATTTGGGTAAATCATGAGGGGGGCTACCACCTTTGAATTCCTAGTGCCTTGTGCACTGAATACTGGGAATCTGAAGGAAAAGCCTGTGACATTGTTCTCATTCTGTTCCACAATATGGACCCACTCACTCTAGCCCATCAGTTGTAATACAAGAAACAGTTAACACACAACCCTGTACATTTCCTAGAGGAAAACTGGTCACACACTTTACTTACTGGTTTTGAGGTAGCACAGGGAGCTGGTGTCATGATTGGAGGCTTGGCTGCACTTTGAGATGGAGGCAAAGAAAATCTCTGCCCTGTGTCCGGAGGTGAAGAACAATGAATCCGTGTTTCTAGTCTCTCAGGCTCATGCTTATAGGATTCAAGAGGAAACGTGGGCTGCTTGGTCACTTGTGTTGGGGTAGATGGAGAAGAGGAGAGGCCAGAGGCTGTCAACAAGAATAATGATGAAAGATCAGCTCAGAAGAAAAGCAGACAGAAATCTCAGCTTTACAGTGAACCTGTATGTTTTCATCCCATTTCCCAGGCTAAAAGTACATATCTCAGCTCCCTGTTCCTCAGAGGAAATTGCTCTGCCTTGCTGGTAAAACTCTTAATCATCCAACTGGTTGAACTGTCTGATTCATTTGCAGGGAGGCATAGTGGCAAGATGAGAGTGCTGGTGGTTCGTGTTGTATTAACCTCCTGTCTGATTACTTATTTCTAAACTGATCCTCAACGCTGATATTTCTTTATTGTTACGATTTTAGTACTCCTGTGAGTCTCAGGATTACCTCTATCTCAAGAGTTTTAATAGTTGCTTTTTATTCTTTTTCATTATTTTAACACTATCTCAGCCAGCAGTTAGAATAAAATTAGGAGCAGAGGCAAAAAGAAACAGGACGTATTTCCCATAAAGCTCAGTCTGCTTTCCATAAGGTTCTTGGCAGTGCCTTTATACAAGGTAGAATGGTTTTCTTGGAGGCCTTGGAGGAGAAAGATTATTTGTATCTTTTGCTGAAAATCAATCTCAGCAGGAGATTATTTCCCTTGTGAGCATTATGTTTTTATCTGACGTGTGCATCTACCCCAGCTGTATTTTTGGTCACGTTCTTACAGCAGTTCTGCATTGTGATCAAACAGATTTACTGTGTAAGTCATATTTAGGACCCATTTAAAAACCAGCAGTCATCCACAAACAGTTTGAAAATTCAAGTTACAACATACGTGTTTCTTGTTATATCAATGTGTACATCAGCAAACAAAGGATCATTCTCTTATGCCAGCATAAATCAGGACAGACTTACATGCATAAAAGCCAGGAGGCTGAACAGAGCTATGTATTTTAGAATGAGCTATATCATCTCTGCACTTGGTTCACTTCTACTTCCAGAGATTTGTGCAGATGATCAGTTAGTCCAGAGGGGACTCAAGTTCATTGAAAAGGAGCAGAGAAGCAAGCATTTAATAAGCATAAATTCCCAAGATATTCAAACGAGTGTGTGAGACCAGGATAATGCATTTTCACACTAAGTCTAGCTCATATTCTCACTGTGAGCTTTCAAGGCTCCATCAGTTTTTTGCACCAGAGATTTTTTTCCTATTCAAAAGCTTTGCATTGGTGCACATGCAGCCTCTGCCGGTTCTTCCTTTTAACCCAGAGTAAAGTGCATTAGTACAACTCACTTTATACCCGTTACCTCTCAGTGTCACATTTGACCTTGCAGACAGCATTTTCAAAGAAAACTTTGTATTGATGGAAAGTAAGACTAAAACTCAGTAGTAACTAAGATGCTAGACTCGGAAGAAGTCCGACAACATATGGAAGGACCCGTTACCTGACAAAACTATTTCTCCTGACATATCTGGGGAAGAGTTACAATATCCTATGATAAAATGCATTAACAAGGAATTCAGGTAACTGTTCTTTAGCTGCCATTCTTGACTGAAAATAACCCGGTCTAGTGGAAGGTGCCCCTCCCTGTGGCAGACAGGTTGGAACTAAATGATCTTAAGGTCCCTTCCAACCCAAACCATTCTATGCTTCTATGATTCTTGATGTCTTTTACATATGGAGAGACTTAACTTTAAGAGAATAGAATCACTCATCAAGAATCCTGTGAAATCATTAGGCTCTAATGTGGTTTATTTGTAGTGGTTTTAGTAGTGCAATGTAATGTATTTCTTTCAAAGAGAATCTTAACTCTCACTGAAAAATTTTAGCTTTGCTGAAATCAAAAAGGACACCTTACTCACACCCTCTCTTCAGTCCTTTTCCAAAACTGCATCTGCCTCCAAGGACTTCCATTTCATTTCCTAAAGAGACCAGCAGCTCTGCCAGTCAAGCAGCAATAACTACAGATGCAGTGGAGAATGGGTATTGTAGGCAGATAAAATGCTGGCTAATGGGATGTGCCACAGGGTGAGGCAAGAAGAATAACCCTGGTATTTTGAATGTCCTCAACTTCTGGTGATTTCAGTGGCATTGGAGAATGTTCCACACCCTGAATGATAAAAAGGGCATCTCACTTGCCTGTTCAGTTTTTGCTTACAAACAAATTTAGATAAACAGTCCTGGGGAAGATGCTCTTATCTTCTGCATTTTTATGGATGTACAAATGTTTCCTGAGCACTCAGACTGCGTTTGGAGGTGGACAGTAGCTATAATTGATGCAAATGTAAAACCACTAAAAGGGAGAAAAACACCATTAGATCTAAAAGTCTTGCTGCTGGATGTGTTCATTGTGCACTAATGTATTCAGCAAGTCTGCAAAAAACATTTCCAGTATCAACAAGCTCTGCCAAAAGAGCTGTTACCAGACATAAGGAAACCACATATTCACCGTCCTAACAAGGCTGGCCTGCCAAGTGTAGAGGACATCAGTGGGACAAAAAATATGTTAGTTTCTTGGTCTCCTTTGATATACATCCCTTACACCTATGAAAACTATTGCCACCTCACTGTAGATGTATCACAGCACAGCCAGGACAGACAGTATGGTTCCCATTTTATAAGAACATTCACTGATGGTGAATCTCCTCTCAGATGCCAGCCTTGGATGCTTGGCATCAGTTTTTATGGCTGAGAGTGTCTGTGACTATGGCAACTTTACAGGGAGCTCTCTGAGTCTTAGAATTGTCTGTTTCAACTAGGCACTTAAGACATAAAGTACTCACCCTGAAGCACACCCTAATGCATATGAGATTCAGTTTTTCTGTGACTCAGTTTCCTCACAAAGGTGGAGGGAAAATTGCAATTATTTTGCAGGTTATTTGATTAAATTATGTAATTAGGCTTTTCAATCTTTAGTATTTAAAGCTCACCTCATAGCAGTATTGTGGTATCTATGTTATTTACATTCATACAATACTGAGATTGAAGAAATAATCCCGTAGGAAATGTTAAATATCTGTATGATTATTAAAACTAAAGCTTTGGCTGCTGTGATACAGATCAACATTGTAACCCCTACAGAGGATTTTATAAAAGCCTACCTCAAAAAAGAATGAAAATCTGTACTATATACCCAGACCAAATCAGTTTAGGAGCAACAGAAATTTGTATTAACTTTAATCTATTGGACTGCTGTTTAAAGAGGCAGCATTGGTGTAAATACAGTTATATGTATGTGCAGTAGCTGTTTTATTCTTCTACAGAAGTCCATTGCAGAGACAAGATACAGCTAGATCATATGGCTGAAAACAGTTCATTTTGGAGAAGGTATGCATAGAATAATGAAGCAGTGAAAACTAGCCTACAGTTCTAGAGTCTTCTATAATGAAATTGAAGAAATTCAGTACATGCATAGGATTGTGAAGAAACAATCCTTGAGACTGACTGCAAACTCTACTGGTTCTGGTAACAAGATGAGCTGCTATGGCAAGTAATTATCTCTTATGCTGATGTTTCTTTCATCAGGCCATGAAATGCATAATGAAATGTAATATTTAAGAAACTAAATAGCTCTTCCTTTTTCCATAACACATACAAAGCATTTTAGACAAAAAAAAAAAAAAGAGAAAAAATATCTAGTTGTGTCACTGGCCAACACAAGGTTTTGTCACATTTTCTATTGATTGTCCCCATCCAGTTTTAAAACAGTCCAAGAGTTTTGTTTTGTTCTGATTCATCCTGACATTTCTTTCTGGGGACAAAACAAGAGCAAAAAAAGAAGATAACTTTGTGGTCTCCATGTTGATGAATCATAAGTACCAACATTAGCATAACTGAATATGCATGTGGATAAGAAAATTTATAAGAATATCTGAATAAATAGTGAAAAATTGCATTAATCAACTTTCATGTTAGAGTATAACTTTACTCAGAACATATATGTGAGATCCTAACAGAACTAACTAGCACAAGCCTCTGTTTTGAGCAAAATGAAGCTATCTCCAGTTGCTTTCTCTCTGTGACAGTGCATGTGGTGATGGTTCAGCGCTCAGCTCTGTGCCAGAGCAATTGCAGCTGGGATCTAGCTGAATATTGCATGCTGGAGGCAAGAGGCCCGAGAAAGTACTGCCATAACAGCAGACCCCCTTTGACCTTTCACAGTCAGTACTGTCTGGTATATAGCTGGTCACAAACATACAAAAATAATGTTGCTACCTTCACGTTTCTCTAGGCAACTATTTCTTTTAAACAAAGCTCTTAGTTTGCATGGCATTAAGTTCTCCACTCACAAACTTGGGCATTCTGATCCAAACCAGCCTTATACTAATAAGTAACAGGAAAGGATAAAGCACTGCGTTGTCATTCCCACCCTCCCAAGGGAAGAAGACTGGCTGCCCTCTGACATTCCCTGGTGACACCCACAATTAGTTCTGTCACCTACATTTCACACCTGACCTGGCAGGATGCATCTGGTGCTTTCTGTGAGGAAGGATGCTCAGTCCAGTGATTCTTGCCAGAGCTTCCCTTTTATACCCACCCTTTTCCAGAAAGAAAAGCAGTCCCTGACCCTGTGAACATTTGGAACCACAGATGTGATAATGCTTCTGTACAAACAGCTGGCCTTGGGTGGTTCATAATAGAGCCACACTCCCTCATTAAGGGGCCAAGAGATATAGCTAGTAGCCTGCTCTCAGACTTGACTTTTGTATTTGTGCATTTAAGATGAAGTTGTTAACACTGTGAAGAGTTCCTGGCCATGAAAAATAAATCACTTCAGAGGAGGGTAGATTTAGATCAGATGTTAGGAAGAAATTCTTCACTGTGAGGGTGATGAGGCCCTGGCACAGGTTGCCCAGAGAACCTGTGGCTGCCCCATCCCTGGCAGTGTTCAAGGCCAGGTTGGACAGGGCTTGGAGCAATCTGGGCTAGTGGAAGGTGTCCCTGCCTGTGGCAGGGGGCTGGAACTGAGTGAGCTTTAAGGTCTCTTCCAACCCAAACCAGTTATGATTCTATTACTCTGTGATTCATGTCTTCCTGGGAATCACAATTTGGTGTTCACTTGCCTTGTACTTGATCAAACAGGTAATGCTGTTGTTAACGCACAAAGGTGTTGCTAAAATAGCTGTCCAAGTTCATATATATAGATTTATTAATTTACCATTTAGAATGAAACTTCTCAGAAAAACACAAAAGGATTTTCCATTTGCAGTGTCTCCATGTGACACTTTTTCTTTGATTCCTTCCCAAGACAGCCCTGTCCTTTCATTTCCATTCTTTGGCCAGCAGTGAAACAGAGAAGGCGGCAGGCTGTGGCTGCTGAATTTTAAGTAGTTAGCAGCACAAGGGAATTGGAGCCGAGTCATCTGTTCATTAGGCTGATTCACTCTCCAGACACAATACCATGTTCATTTTGACACAGAAGCAAATTGATGCAAATTAGGTGAATTAAGTTTAATGCCACTTAACGGACCCAGAAGCAGGTAAATGGCTGCTGTTTCTATTCTAATAGTACTGGTGATACTGACACTAAGTGGTGTAAAATACCTGTTAGTTAAAATAAAAAGGAAATAAAATTAAGCCTGAAAAGTAATCTTAAGAGTTATTCTACAGCAAAAGGGGATAGATACTGTTCATGAAATTTCCTGTCATACCTAGCATTTTGAGCTTACCACACAAGAACTATAGATTTTGCTGTTCCCTGTGTCTGTGATCACCAGTGCATCACCCATATAATGGCCAGACCTTCCAATCCTCCCCCCAGGCTCCCTGGATCCAACCTGAGCAGCACCTATCCCAGCTGCTTCAGTGAGCACGTTTGTTTCAATCCCATTGAAACAACTCCACACTTTTCATGTAGCTGGTACACCATTCAATGGGAAGCTTACTTGTTTCCATAAACATCTGTCCCATATTATATTAATCAAAGGAAGAGAAAAATACACCCATTGAGTCATTAAAATATCATGTGCTGTCTGAAAAGTTTCACAGGAAAACATATATTTTTGCAGTAAAAATCTAATTTCTTTATATTAGTTCAAACACAGTAAAGGAAACCGTTCCTTAAGTGATCTCAGACACAGAAATATCTGAACATGAAAGCTCCAACTTTTCCTTCAGAAGCTATTTCACTCTGTAAAACCAAAGACAAAGCTGATCAGTTTCCAGGATTCAGCCTGTTCTACTCTGCTTGTGGTCTATTTACATGCCTGCACACCACTTGTTACCTGTGGAACCTGCAATGTAACACCTTTTCCTTGTAAAACTGAGAAAATCAAGAGCTGAAGAGTTTGATTTGTGAAGTTTGAGGATTGCTCATCTTTCTGAAGCTCTGGAGGCCCCTTTCTGAGGAAAGGCTGATCAGGAGAAACACTTCCCCAGTGCCATATTCTGTGGGCTTTACTGCAGATTTCTCCTGCCCTGCTGATTAGAAAGAGGATCTTCCACCTTGCCCAGAATTGTACACTGGTTATCTTATATTTGTTAAATGCACTTGGATATATTACCAAAGCAGGCATCACTGTTGCACTACCAGGCGGGCTTCCAGCCATGGGCTCCTAATCCTGAAAAGCTCCTCTGGTCCCCCTGCAAACGCACCCTGGCTGATGGTTCCTACCTTCTCCCTCTCCCAAGCTCAGCACCTTTTTGAGGCTGAAACCTCCACAGTTAGCCTGTGTTTCCACACTTAGTTCTTAACAGTTATTCTCTACAATCAGATGAGTTTCATCACCTTGGGTTTTGCATTGCCTGTTCTCAACAGTTTTGCATTTTTCCTTTATTCAGCAGAAAAATTTCTGTCAGAGTACATGAGTTGACCAGGGGTTGCCAGGAAGGAAGTGGCTGTCAAGGGCTGAACTTGGGCTTTCAGGGCTATAGGCAAGCTGTAGGGAGTAGGATATAGGATCCAGAGATGTACACAATCATGAATTTGTTGCTTTTAAAGTGACAGATACATGGGAGCTGAACACAGCAGGCAAAGACCAGAAATCCTGGTGTAGAGCATCCCTCACAGAGGGATTTTTCTAGTTCTCGTTGGCCAGAAGGTTTCAACCTGACTTCTAATTCCCAGTTTTCTGCCACCCCTTCTCCTTTGTCTTGCAATCCTTGAGGGAATGCCATGGGCAAATAATTCATAGCAAAGACATGGAGATCACCCGTGAGCTTGATGGCAAACAATGGCTTTTCTTGGTTTTGATTTTCTGAGACAGCCAAATGCACAGTCCATTGCTGTTTGGCAGCCTGACAGGTTAGATGAAGAGGTCCTGGTAATGGCTGAGGTAGCCACTGAGTAAGTGCCTGAGTCAGCCATGAGTAATTAGCTCAGCATGGTGATTATACTGAGACTAGCACCAGGACTTTACGAGACACCATATGGCTGTGGTCAGCATGCACTGTCAGGAACACAGGCAGCATGTACCTTGCCAGCACAGGTACTAGAGACAGGAGTAAAATACTAACAGTGATTCTCAGCAGGTAACAGCACCATGGGAAACATCCTGCAAAGCCACGAGAAGCAGGAGGAGGAGGTTGGGGCATGTATCACTATGAACACAAAGAACACTTTACCCTCCTATGTGTCTGTCACCCACAGAGCATGGGATCATGAAGCTTGCAAATGCCAGCTTTTCATTTCCTAAATTCAATCCTGCCACTGACAGCAGAGCAAGAGGAGTTTAAGACTGCCACCTTCCCAATGGCTCCTGCTGTACCCAAGCCCAGGACTGCCAACAAGGGGATGTGATGTTCTGCAGTGCTGCCTAAGGGTAACTGCTGGGTTGTAACAAAAGCTAACTGTGCAGTATGGTGACACCAATCTAAAAAGTCACTAAAATGAAAATCAATCACTCCATTCAAACCATATGGGAAATACATGTGACATCTGCAAACCCCGAGTTTTTCTGATCCGAGCCGGATGACTGATGAGCGTAAGCCAATCCATGCAAATCAGCCACGTGCAACAGTTGGCCCTTATCAACGTACTGATAACTGCTGAAAGAAAAGTCTCCCCTGGCTTCCCAGCCCCGTATCAGCATGTTAGGCAGGCACAGCAGTGCATCACATGGCAGGGATTCACATGGGTACTTGTACTACGTGCTGGTTACAGCTGGCTGCTGGGAGAAGCAATGCCTACACCAGGACAACTTTATTTACCTAATACACCACCTGGCATTTCAACTTGCATAGAGTACTTGGTGTTCAGAGGCTTTAATGAAATAACTTTTGTTTTCTCTTTCACAAAGACATCTGGCTGCTAAAGCTAACATTTAACAGCTCTTTCCACATTAACCTCAGTTGTCCTATCTGGGCTTTCTTTCTGTTTTGAGTCATGCTGAGCTAAACACTCCCCTGCCATTACAGAAAGCTGCAAACAGCCTGTCCTTGGTGACACTGGGTGGCCAGCACTGTCTCTGCATTATTACCCTGTCCTCTGACAGAGGCTGCTATAACCTGGAACCCGCTCTCTGGTTTTGTGCAGCAAAGCTTCCAAAACACAGTTATCGTAACATTCATCATAGTTGGAAGGGACCTATAAGATCATCCAGTTCTGACCCCCTGCCATGGGCAAGGACACCTTCCACTAGACCGGCTTGCTTCAAGCCCTGTCCAACCTGGACTTGAACACTGCCAGGAATGGGACAGCCACAGCTTCTCTGGGCAACTTGTGCCAGTGCCTCACCACCCTCACAGGGAAGAACTTCTTCCTAATATCTAACCTAAATCGACCCTCTGTCAGTTTAAAGCCATTCTCTCTTGTCCTGTCCCTACCTGCCCTTGTCAAAAGTCCCTCTCCAGATTTCTTGTAGCCCCTTTAGGCACTGGAAGCTGCTCTAAGGTCTCCCCAGAGCCTTCTCTTCTTCAGGCTGGACAGCCCCAGCTCTCAACCTGTCTCCATAGGAGAGGTGCTCCAGCCTTAGGAGCATCTTCAACAGGTCCATGTCCTTCTTATGTTTGGGGACACAGAGCTGAATGCAGGACTGCAGGTGGGGTGTCACGAGAGCAGAGGGCGGGAGTCCTCTCCCCTGACCTTGTGGTCATCATCCTTTGTGTTTTGCTTCTGGTAGCACCCAACCACTGTGTGCAATGTGCTTCACAAACATAAGAGATAACACAGGCACTAACCTGAAGGGTTTACAGTTTGACAGGCAAAGGAAAAGGAGAGGAAAACTAAGGGGGGAAAGGTGGGAGCGGGAGTGTTGTATGCACAACATATAAAGACAAGTTTGGAAGTAATTACTTGCTTGTTCTGATGCTTAATTTCACACAGATTTTATACTTAATCACTGCACTGAATGTCAGCTTTTCAAAAGCAGATGCTTGGGAGGGTGGCAGAGCAGGGGATGTTGTTTCTTCTCCTATGATTTACAATATGCTCATCCAATGTAAATTTAAAAAATGAGGGCATTAAGGCAAAGATTTTCTTGGCTTGCTTGCTCTAAATCAGTGCCTTAACCATGTACCTTATTTCTGCAATATGCTATAGCAGAGGAATACCTTGTGGAAACTGAAAAAAAAAATCAACCCTCAAGCATTCTACAGATCTGTCATTAGAGGTCCAAGTTAATGAAAAGGACAGTCTGATCCAAGCCTGCAGAACCCCACTGAAATCACTGTAGGGGATTTCATCTGCATAGCATATCTTCTCTCTGTGTAACCAAGAGACAGAATATTAATGCACATAAAGACCACTTGGGTATCTATTTACAGGGCATGCATGAAAGCTCCAGGGCTGGCGCCAGGGGAATGTAACGCTGCATGAGTCTTGACTGCACAGCAAGAAGGCAAGTGTTTATAGACTGTGCCGCTTTCTGAGGTTGGGAGCAACAGTTATTAGGCTGTCAGAGCAGAGTCTTCAGGTCTCAGGTCCTGGAACCATCTATATAATGTATCAGTTTATATTAGCCTCAGTTTTCTACTTTTACAATGAAGAAAATAGCTCTAGAGGTGCTAGTAAAGGCACTGGAGTTACAGCTGGATTGCCAGTCTCACAGCACAGTTTACTTCTGTTTATTTTCTGCAACACTTACAAGGGCACTGGGGTGAGAGTAATTAAATATTTGCAAAGTACTCCAAATCCTCAGGAAAGCTGGAGCTAGAGAATGAAGCTGTAATTTGCCATTTCTTTGCCTCTGAAATTCATGATGTTCAAACCCTCTGTTCTTTTATTTAAAGAACAAAAAGTCTCCCTCATTCTAGCTCTTTTCAAAATTCAGCAGGAGTCCAAGCACTGCTTCAGCCTGTGGCATTTGCGTCTCCCTACTGTGTCTGACTCAGACTTCTCTCTCATCATAATTCCTGTCTTGCTAACCTGGGAATTAATCTTTTTGTGCACATATGGCACTGCAGAAATATGCAGTGCTCTCTAGCACACCTACCAAAGTCTCCTGAAGAAACAACTAATGACTTCATGGCTCTTGTTTGATTGAAAATAAATTGCTATGGGCCTGCTCTTGCTCCTTATGCCACTTGGTAGTGTCATTCCCAATGCCTTCTGTGGCACTGGATCATGCTTTTAGTTGAACATTAGTGCAGCTTTCTCTAGACCCTAGTCTGCTCAGAGACTAACCCGCACCTTCACATGAAATAATCCACACCACACTGGATTTCTTCTGCCTTTCACAATTAGATCTCGGATTCATGTAGGTTGCAACTAACCTCAGGTGTCCATCCTTCTGGTTAGTTCCAATCCAGACTGGTTTCCCAATGCAAACACTTGTCTTGGCATGAGTATGAGAGCCAAGACGAGTGTTTGCTAAAATAAGTGGGAAAGAGACCAGGCAGAAAGCAGAATCACTGTAGAGTGGTATTGCTGGATTATACCTCTTGAAGTGTACAGGAAACTACAGGTCAAGTCCTTCTAACAATTGCTATGAAGAGCTGTCCATCTAGGATCTGGGTGAGGTCACTATTATGAAAAAAGGGGAGAAGGAAGCTGTACATCCATGTACCAAAACCACGACTATATCAAAAGACTTAAAACATGCCCTGCATTGGGATGTCCTTACCTACCACTGGCAAGGCCATGCTTCCCATGTATGAGGAATTAGTTACCACCTCATTTTCTTCTCCCAGCACAGAAGCTGAATAAGCTTAAAATCAAATGAAGCTGGGTCCTCTTGGCACAATTCTCCATACTCTTACCAATAAAGTAAGTACTGTCATGATACCCAGCATTAAAATGAGGCTGAAGAGCAACGATATCACAGCTGTATGTTAGAATTTCAGGACGGAGTCAGGAAGTACCCCAAGGTACACTAAAAGGTATGCCTACAAGGTTTTAGATGCTGGTGTTGCCACAACTATGGAAATCAAGCACACTTAACAAGCACGTACATGCTCAGGAAAGCCATGAACACTTGGGCCCATCCTACTCAAAGAGTTCAGCCAGAAATTAATCCCTACTTTGTCAACATAAGCCTAAAGGGAACTTTAAACACATACCTGGATAAATATAAGTCACATGGAATGAACAAACATTCACCTTGGGATATTCAGTGATCCTGTCGTTCTGGAAGTCCCTTAAACTCCATCATTTATTCTTCTTACCTGCCCATGAGTAAAATTCAAACTCAGGAGATGTCCATTGCATTGAAACAACCAACACCTGGTCCAATTTTATCTCTCTGTGAAGTGCTTATAGTGGCCAGACACATTTCTGGTAATTCTGCACCAAGGTTGGGCTGTGCCTTCCCAGCCACATATGCTTTCTTGGCTCCTGATCTACCTCCTCCTCCTGCAGACCAAGAATCTCCTCTCCTCCATACACTTCCTGCTAAATGTTACATCTAATGCTCCATCTCAGGTCCACTAGAGTGACACTACTAAGGAATCCCTCACGGATTTCTTTTTGTCTTGTTATTTTACCTTCTGCTTGCAGGCTGATTTAAACCTTCCCCATCCACTTGCCTACTCAGTAGAGCACCTGCTAGACCAGTCCCCAGCAGCACGCCACAGGGTGGCTTCCTTTGCTTGGCTGCACAACAGGTTGCAGCCGATCCCTCCTCTCAACACCCAGCTCTCTGGTGCTCAGGCCTCTGGCAGGGAAGTGCGCAAGTGCCCTTCGGCACAGCGTGCTTACATTTTTCCAAAGGGCCAGCCAAGCAATTTTCCTCTCCAGGAAATCCTTCCCCTCCCTTGTCACCCAACCCCAGCTTCACCCCGCAGCCCACCCCAGGTCACTGTTACAGCATGCCTCCAGCGCATGACAGCAGTCACATTCCTGGCTTGTTTTAGTCCTTAGAGCTGTCATCCTGCTGTAAAGCATATGAAAACAGAGGAGCCAAAAGGACTTAGCATGTTGAGACTGAGTGAGTACCTCAATAGCAGACTCTCTGGAGCAGGGGACACCCTCATGCCAGAGATTTCCCCTGCTCAGTGGGGTAATCTGATCTGTTTAAGCAGAGCTACCTTTGCCCTTTCATTCTGCCTTTCCCCCCATCACCCCAGCTCTCATCCTTTTGCAGGTGCCTCCCTAAGTCCCTGAAGACTTTGGTCCCATTCCTGTGCACCAGCATCAGCTGTGGACAGGCAGCTTACACTGACACTCCAACTGCCCTCATTTCACACTCAAGTTAATATGCTCTAAAGCGAGGTAGGGATTTCACAGCCACTGTTTCAGTCCTCAGGCTTGGGAGGGCTGGGCCATGTCTTCTCACATACAAGACATCTAAGTGACAAACCCAGAGGACTAGCACACTTTAAACTGCAGAAGCTAGGCAAATCCATCAGCCATAAAAACCACATAAGGTCAACATACTGTCTGGGGCTTCCTTTGCATCAGGCAAAATATCAGTGTGTTTCCAAGCAGATACATTTGCAGAGGCCCTTCCTTGAAGTTTTCTACCTCTCTGAGTAGGACAACACAGTATCTGAAAGCTTGGACCTAGGAGATACAGACAAAGTCTACAGTATGAATGTTCATATACTGCAAGGGGAAAAAGCAGTAACAATTCTGACCAGCTTAATGTGCCAGAGAAGAATGCATGGACAGGTATTAAATATATGATCTCAATATCTCCTACCCTAGATGGACCAGTAAGAAAGCTACACTGAAGAAGCTCTGTGTTAGAGAACAGCCTGTGGGCAGTGATCTAACTGCCTGTACACTGGTCAAGGAGAGGAACTGTGCAGAAGACAGGTATGCTCTTTTATTTAAGGCATGTGACTCTGTGTGTGAAAGGAGCAGCTATGGAGAGGGGCTTCAGAGAAGGTTGTGAAGAGGGAACCTGAGGAACCAGACCTCTTGGGAAGGACCAGGCCAAGTGATTGCTGAGGCTGCTACAACAGCCCTGGCAGAGAGGCTCCAATGCTGCTCTTTAACTTGGAGCAGATGATTTCAGGTTAGATATAAGGAAAAAGTTCTTTACTGTGAGGGTGGTGAGGCACTGGAATAGGTTGCCCAAAGAAGTGATAAATGTGCCATTCCTGGCGGTGTTCAAGGCCAGGTTGGACAGAACCTTGTGCAATAATGCTGTCTAGAGTGAGGTGTCCCTGCCCATGGTAGGGGGGTGGAACTTGATCATCTTAAGATCTGTTCCAAACCTAACCATTCTGTGATTCTATGATTATTAACCTCCACCCCACTGCCCTGCCCACTGACACAGTGGGAAACAGACACGGTTCAGGGCTCCAGACCAGGAAGAAGTGCATTCAGCCTAAACCTTCTGAAGAGCAGGAGGCCTTTTCACCGGACAAGTGTGATCCCAGCAAAAGGAGCCGGTGCTTTGCTGCTAACCTGCCCCAGGCAGGCCCGTGTGATGCGCAGGCAGCCAAGCAGGGTGCTGGTTATGCAAGTACTGACTCAGATGTCACGGAGCAAAGCCAACACCGCAAAGACCGTGGTGAACAACTGTCAAATGATAAAAGATTTCAGTCACTGCTGACTGAAGCTGGATTTAACCTAGCAGGGAAAGGCTTTGTATGTCATTACCAGCCTGCTGCGCGAGTCGCTTCCCTACTGAGCCCCACTGTTCTGACCTCATTTCTGGAAATAACTTATGAGCTGTTTTCTCTTTGCAACAAGTAACTATTGCACTGGAAAGCTGGGTGTCCCAAGTTCTTAAAGCAAGGCAGTGCTGCAACCTGTTCCTCGAAGCATGGGCAGCTTTGGACAGCTTTTGCACTACCCCAGTCATGCATACCCCCTGGACACTCAGGACTCCCCACTCAGAAAGCCATTTAGACTGAATCTGCCACCACAAACAGACCATGACAGGTTTTCAGGCACTTCTGCAAATAGTAAACCACTATGTATTTATCCAAGTTTACTGAACATTGGTGAAAGTGTATTTGATGCTGAGAGTCACCTGCTGCTGCTCAACACAAATGAACCAGTCAGATGGTAAAAGACCAGCTGGCTTTAAAGAGACATCTAGATAAGGGTTTGTGGCTGATAGCTCTTTAGCTGAGCCAGGTCTTGAAAAAAACAGTTGAGAAAGGCAACTGGTGTCTAGTCCTTCCAGTCCAGATTAGGGACATAAGATAAGGAGACTGCCAAGAAAACCACATCCTTTGCTTTCCCGAGCCTCTATTTTTTTCTGACAGCTGATTATGTTCCTGACACCTCCAGAAAAATGGATGACACTGCAGAGACAGCATGAACATATGATCCTTCACTCCTACCAAGCAAGAGCTTACAGACTGACTGCAAAGAACATTAGGAAGTTCTAACATGTTCTCCTTTCAAGGGGACAGGATATTACTGAATAATGCTCACGACTCTCCAAATGTTTCCTTAAGATTTCCCTTTACAGGCTGTTGTCACATCAGGGGGCTTCAGCAGTTCATTTACACCACTTGTTCCCTCACACTGTACAGTTGTGGCCACAAGAAACTTTTTTCTGTCTTTTTTTTTTGTTCTCTTTTTATTTTCTTACTTTTATTGTAAGCTATTGCACTGATTAAGCAGAGATACTCTGCTGAAGTTTCAGCACTGTAAAAGCAATTCAATCATCGTTTTGTGGAAGGTAGCTCATGTTTAGCTGACAACTTTTTCTTAATGCAGGATTGAACGTGAGGCATCACCCTGAAGTTCTATTGAGCTTGAATGGGATCCAGCTTGGAACAACTCAGCTGTATCAGTGCTGGACCACTGTTGGTACAAGCTGAACACCAGCCGAGGCCAGCTGAGACCTTCAAACGGTCACATGGCTGGCCACTATCCTTGCACAGCTTATATCCAAGGTATTCACACCATGTGGAGCCAAGCGTGGGACCTCTGACAGCATTTGCTTTAGTCACTGTCCATGCCAGTGATGCAAAAAGAGCCCTACTCCAAGTACAGATTGTGACAGGTTCTAACACCCCAGAAGTCCTGGAGTGTGGGTGAAAGCCACTTCTGAGCACAGACTTGAAATTTTACATGATTAAGAACAGCGAATACAGTGTTTGGAGCCTGGGCAGGGGGTGGATTACAGTCTTACATTCAAGTGCATCAGCAGCAAGAGTGGTAGTAGGTTTAAACCAAGATGAGACCAGAGCTGGGTGTGCTAGTACCACTAGTACCAAGAAAGCAGAGCATGTGGGTTGATTGCTCAGGAGCTTGGGAGGAGGTTTTGCCAAAATTACAATTATTTGTGTTACTCGGTGCTCTGAGTGCATTGCTTCAGCTCGATAAACAAAGCCACAATGAAATTAAAGGGCTCTGACAGCGAGTCAAAACTATTTAGTGTGAAGGAAAATAACCAGATCTGGATGGGGGGCTTGG